CCAGAACGGGATGCAACTGAACCCGCGGATGCAACCGAACCGATCAGTGGCAAGACTTGCAACTGTTTGGTTAGTTGACGTTGGACCTTTAAACCATGACGATGGATGGAGACGGATTTTCAAATTTCTCGCAGTCCCTCATCAATCCATCTGTCATTACATCTTCAAAATTATCTGTGTTTTCTCGGTATCTTGGATCGAAATGTTGCATGGGTACGTACGTACCTTCTCCGTTTGGCTAACATCGTTTGGGGCATGTTTTTGGCTAATACTTCACTTATTTATGGAACTTTGTTATTTATTTTTACTCATTTTATCAGAGGCTAACATCGTTTGGGGCAGTTTGGTCATTTTATTTTTACACATTTTATCAGAGGATTGGACAAATCTCATAAATGGGTATACTTAGCCCTCTTTCTATACCCTTGTACTTTAGTTTCTTGTGGGATGTAACCTTCGCCTCTCCTTTTCTTTAAGAATTCATTATTCTGTAATTTGGGTTTGAATCAAACAAGATATTACAATTTGTAGGATTTGCTTTCCTATAATAACGTCGAACCAAACAAAATATTAGAAACCTCAAAGCACGTATAAAACCCTGTAGATTTGAAATTCTCTATGAGAATATAAATCCTAAAATTTTAGAATTTGAACTAAACGTCCCCCTTAATTGATTTGGTCACCCTACTAACAGGAAGGAGTGTGCAGGAATGTATGCAACTGCTGGAGTTTGAGTTCAAAATTTAGCGCAGTAGAGTTAGGAGGATGAAGGACACCCTGCGCAATAGAGTTTGGAACTCAAACAGAAGGATTTTCCTCGCGTTCTGCAGTATGATATATACAGTTTTGTTATTTGTTTTCCTTTGCTGTAGAGAAATTATTTGGTCTTGTACAGATAGGTTTTGGTTTTTTAAGCTGTGACTCTGTCTTTTCTTGTTGAGTCTATGGAGAGTTTGTACTCTAATGCTTTTGGTAAATAAGAATGTAATCCTTACTTACCAAAAAAAAAGTACTAAAACCACCAAATTTTCCTACATGCCTTGGTAGATGGTAAAGAGCGCTAGTATTGTTGTCTTGAACTTACTGTAGTTTCGCCGTAGTTTCATTTTGGCAAGTAAACTAAAAATTTTGACTCATTTTTCCGTGAACAAATTTCTATGTGCAACTAACCCTTATGTAATGAATTTTCAAGTAAGATCTTAACTTCCTTGCCATAAGTTTCTCTTCATCTGGCGACTTTAATGTCTTGCACTGCTCTTATGCTTGTTCCTACACATCAATAGAAGAAAGTAGCGTATCATCTGTATATATGACGTATATCAAAGCTGCTTTTCTTCAGTTATCGAACAAAAGGTCACAGTATTTATAGTAACACCTTTTCAGCTATATGAAGAACCTTTCATTACCTCACAAGAGGTTAATAGCTGATATATATTTATTAATTTGATGTAGAATGGACTGTGGATATATTTACGGAGAAGGACCGTTAGAAGCTCAAACAAGGTCCTGACAATAGGCTTTGACTTGTAACGAAGAAAAGTCATATCTCGCAATCCGCATATGTTAGAATTGGACAAATAATATATAAAAATCACATATTTTTCCTAGAAAGAGTCAACAAAACCAACCATGGACATTTATCGTTGTCTATCTTGCAAAATTTCCTCCAGATTAAGAGAGATTAAAATTTTTGTTAGGTTTTTGCTATTTTGAGCAATAATTTAGGAATCTATTTTGATTAGGGA